CTACCTGACATTGTACCAAGAGGTGTAATATACCCACAGCCACGCCTCAAATACCTCATTAGCTAGGAAGGTCAATACCTGACTGTCTGGACATTTTAAAAAGTAAAATTAACATTTTTCTTCTAATTGCATTTAAAAAAATTCCCTTTTTTTCTGATTAAATGCCAAATTCTGCTGTTGCTAAGTACTGTTCAGAAGCACTATCAGATTAACATTAACCATGTGTATTCTATAATTGCCCGATGGTGCTGAATCTTGGATAACAGCAGTCCTGAGCTTCGTAGATACGTATCAGATTGCTAGAAAATCTGAAGTGTTCCTAGTTCCTTTTGTTTTCAGAATAAATCTCTATGATTATTTGAATTAGTGTTTAAAAAAAAAAAAGCTGTGAATATCAAGTTCATAGGCGTATATATTTAAATGCTGAAATGCACAGTCTTTTTGGCATCTGTGATGTTTATGACAGTTTCTGGTGTAATCACAGAAGTTGACTGGCATTATCTCTCTCCTGTATGGTTGTTGCTTAACTTGTATACAAGTACCAGATTTTGTATAGTAGCTTTGCAATTGCAGCATATGAGGTCATAACCTTAGGTTATCTAGACTTGCTGATCCTATCAGAAACTTGTTTGCTATGTTTTACTGTAATAGTGTGACGTATCCTTCCGTGCAAGAATGTATGCTATGATTTGCTAGCCAGTTCTAGGTACTGAGCAAATGACTTTTTTAATCTTTCCAACAATTTGTGGAACTCTGATATAGATGCATTGATTTGCTTTTGCTTGAAGATCCTAAATCAGAATAAATATTTTTCATATCTATATATCTATGTAAATACACAAGCAGATAAATATATATGGGTATGTATATGTTTGCATGCACACACTTTTCTTTTGAAGGAAGACTGTTTTTATACAGTCATTTTGATGCTAGTGAACATACATTATTCTCTCTAGCATGCTAGAGATGAAGCCGAGCAATGCCTTTTACAATATCAGGAACGTCCTTTGAAGCACAGGTATTGGCAATCAATTTTACCTCTTCCTTTCTACACTTAATTTCAAAACTAGGATTTTTTGTATATGATGGCAAGCTTGTGTTTGTATATGCTTTTAAAACATCGCACTAATGTATTTTTTTTTTTTCTGTTGTTTCATTTATACGTAAAGAGGTTGCCAGAATGGAGTTTTCTTTTTATTTTGGAGATCTACGTAGACTTCATAACTTAAAAGACTAGATTTAGGTAGAGGAGCAGAGTATTTTTCTTCATTGGGATTTATTTTTATGTTAAATGGCATTAATTTTTAAACCTGTTTCTCATAGCATTTTCTGTGTTCTGCTTCATAGTCTGCTTTTTTCCATCAACATGGATGCACAACAAATGATACCAATGCAAAGTATAACAGTCGTGGTGCTCAGCTTTATAAGGAGAAGATTAAATCTCTTGCAACACAGGCAACAAGAAAGCATGGTACTGATGTGAGTAGTGGGTGTCCTGTGTCGTTAAGATTTCTGAAAAACTTGATCTTATTTCCGCTAGAGTCATTTTAAGTTTCTAATCAGTAATGCAAAAGATTAAAAAAGTCTTTGTGAGGTACTGATACACATTACAGTGAATAGGCAAGCTGGGGAGTAAACTGTTTGTAGCTTACCTTTTTTGTTTGGAAGAAGAATAATGAGATAGAGCTCAACTGGTTATTTCAGGATCATTTCTGGGTTATAGAAAACATTAATTTTAACATTTGCAGGAGTTCTAGACAGAAACTTTAGGTAGTCTTTAAAATGGAACCTTCTTTGTTTTCAGTTGTGCTCCAAAATTATAGTAGTGGTACTGCATAACAAAAGTGTCAGGACTTCTCCATGAACTGTATGGTGCTTTTATTATTGCTTATCTTGAACTGAATTATTCTTGAGAAGTACAGCATGTAAAAATGTAAAAGTGCTAATAGAATTAACTACAAAATAATTGTGACTTAAGTGGGATTTGATTTGCACAGGTAAATGTATGTTTTTGCTTTTTCCCGTACAAAAATGATATTTGAAAAATTAGCAAGTTATATGTGTCCTGAACTTGATGTTCTCTATTAAAAATGCTGAAACAGTTCGTGCATGCTATCAAAACATCATTAGGTTGCTGACAGGAAGAAGTTCGTAGCAAAGTATGCAGAATTAGTTTGCTGAGCTGTTAAATAAGGGTGACAACAGTTCTCTTCTGCATACGCAGAAAGTATGTTTTGTTTGTTTAGTTCAGCTTGTTAAAGTCCATGACTCATTCATTTGAAGTTGATCAGGTGCGTGGGAATTAAAAGAAAAGCAATAAGGCTTGTGGTTGTTTTAATCTATGCGTCAAACAGCATGAAATTTAATGGATTGTAATAATACTATGTTATAAATGTTATAGACAATACAGTTCACATCACTAACTTCAGAGAAAATTTCTTTTGACTTACTAAACAGCTTTAGGTGTAAAACACGTTCAGGTAAATGTAATATACCGTGAGCATTTAAGTTGACAGTAAGTTCCCCAAATGACACTTCGAAGAACTGTGATTATCTTGCTTCAATTACAGATTCCATCCAATTGTTTGATATTAATTATGTATTTCTTATTTTAAAATTTTAGTAAATATATTTTTAATTATGTACTGCAAGCTTGAGTGATTATGTGCTATCTAAATTGCTGAAGTAAATTATTCAGATAATTAGATTTAGTATCAACCATCCCATCCCCTGTCACTTTTTTAAAAATTGCTTCTCTGACTGAGTCGATTGTCGAATGATGAGGTAAGCTTGTTGCACATTCACCTTTTTGACAGAGGTCGTTTTTTTCCATCACATACCTTTTTGCACGTAGTAGAAAGACCCATGAGAAATGACTTGCGTATGAGTAACCTTGGAGTGCAGATCACAGGCTTGTAGTCCTGTCCTGCACAATGCTAAGAAAGACCTGCAGCACTGAGGGCCCTCCAGCCTGCCTTGAGATGAGGCATTGCACAAAGCTGGTAGCATCTTGCAAAACGCTGCTTTAACTGTCACAGAGGTTTTGGGGCTCTGAGACTATGTGGGAAAATTTGTCAGAGTACCAGACCACACTGATACAATTCTGAAAACTGTTTCCAATGACTGCTAGTGTTACGTTTTCAGGTTTTTTCGCTTTGGCCAAAATAAGAATATTACAGAGAACATACCTTATATGTGAATATGAAAAAGCTTACTTATTCTGAAGCTCTAGTGATACTAGATATTGACAGTATCACTGCAGGAGACCTTATACTGAGCATTTTGTTGGGAAGGAAATGGGTAATGTGAAGGAACACATCAAAGATGTACAAAATAAATAAAAAAAAAGGAATGTGTCATATATTGAAGCTCAAATAAATTTGTAAGGAAAGATTATGTACTAGGAAAAAAAAATCAATACATTTTTAACCTGGGGGGCGGGGGAAGTCATTTTAAGGTTAGATTTTTGAAAAGAATTAATGCATGTAGTTGTCCTGTAAAATTCTCTCTCTTTCTTTTAATTCTAGCTGTGGACAGATGGATGTGGAATGCCACCTGTGTCACCTCAAAACAAAGAGGAAGACTTTTTTGCATCGCATGTTTCTCCCAAGGTATAGATTACCTCTGATTCTTGTTAGCTTTCAGAACAGATTAACTGTGTGCTGTCTTAAACCTTGAAAGAAAACCTTACAGAGGAAGGGTAGGTCAGTGAGTTAACATTTATCTGCTTTAACTTCTGTGGGTCTCAAAATTCTTCCTGTATGTGAACCACTTTCTAAGGTGTTTATTTAGAATGACCCAAATAGTAACTAAATGTGGAATGAAACTATTTTTTTTTTGTAGGCATACAATTCTACTTGGACTTGGGATTCCTTGCTTGGGAGTGCTCTGATTTAAATATACTGTGTGATAATTTCAGTTTTTAATCAGTAAAGTTTAACAGTTCTTAAAACATTTGCTAAGCAGAAGCTTTTGTTCTTCGTCCGAAATACTTACATCCTCTTTGGAAATGTTGAAGTAACTTTCTGAAGGCTATTGCTACTGTTGGTTTTCATTTATATGATCCTACTTCCTTAAGGAGATACATGCTGTATTTATTTCACAGATTAATGTTTCAGAGACTCTCTTGAGTCTGGTAGATGAAAAGTAACCAGTGAAAACAACTTCAGCAACTGTGATCTTAAACTTAGAGCAGTGTTATTACTACACTTAGTATTCCTAAATATTGCAACAATATTGAGTGTTCTAGTATAATTGCTTTCTAGTACAGTTGCAGTCTGTGAACACCTAAAACAGAAGTATGATCATGAGGCATATTTTGGGATAGAGAAGAATTCAGAGAGCTTGGGTATATCAGATTAGCCCTTGTTGTGAAAACTCTTCACCAGCTGATATGCATATTAATTCCCCTGTCATGACATTGTGGTTATGCGTGCGTGTTAGCAGCAAGTAATAGAAACCTATGTGAGATGCTCATATCCGCACTTGGGTAAAGAACACAGTAAAAATAACACAACTTTTTAGTGACTTTCTAGTGTATGTGGGATACTTAAGGACAAAAAAAGCTGTAATTTAAATGAAAAATTATTTTTTTTCCTTGGGGTTATTCAGTTGTGACATTTCAAAATGTGACTTTTTTGTAGTATTTGTGAGGTTTCAAAAATGGTGCATTTTAAAGGGAAATTCAGCCTTTTTGCTATTTATTTGTTTTATTTTAGGAACTTAAACTGCAGCCAGTATTTGAATGTCTTACAAAAAGCAATTTCAGCATCTTTGAAACAGTGAAAGAGTATTTACATTTTACAGACTAGGAAGATTGTGGTATTACTCAGAAATGCTCGTTGCAAAGACCAGAAAAATCAGGTAGTGTGAATTCTACTCTGGTGTCTTGACCAGAAGATCATCTTCTGTCCTGGTAGTAGATAAATAAATGGAGCATTTCTGTTTGCAAAAGGCAGCCTGGAGGAATGTTTGCAGTTGAGTGGGAAAAGCGTAAACTGAGGCAAGCTGAAGAGAAAGAAGTTTAAGCAGAAAACTGTTGTAAATATTTTTGTGGTTGAGGACAAGAAGTAGGAACTTGGTACAAACCCTCTTAAGAAAATGTCTGGGCAGGATAAGGGATAAAGTAAATTTTCACAGCAAACTTTTCAGGTAGCCGGAAAGGCAGGAGGTTAGAGACAAGCAGTCTGTGTACCTCAGGGCAAGACATTATTTGGGTATGTGTGTTTTGAGAGAGATGTCAGGAAGTTTTGAGATTGAGGTTTTAGGCAAGAATAAAAACAAGCTGGCGGTGGCACAGCACTGGTGGAAAAGATAATACTACGCTGATACTGTTGTGACCAGGTCACAAACGTGCCCGTGGAGGAAGATGTGTCTGAGGGAGGTGGGAGAACTCATCAGGAAGACTTGGGAGGATTGCTCACAACCAAAAATTCAGTGTTAGAAAATTCAAAGTGCAAGAGCTTAGTGTGGGGAGAAAGCTTGGTGATTATATGTAAATAAATGATCCAGATTTCCTGTACTGTATTACTGAGTAAAGACAATTAATAGCCAGCATACAATAAATGCATCTAAAGCACAATTAAAGCACATGTTATTTTTTGGACGGTAAACATACTGAAATTCTGGAGAGGGAAATGCAGATGCTCGGGCGTGGTTTGAAACCAGCTCGCTTTTATTAAATGTAGGCATTTCTTGTAACTTTAATAACTGCCCTTCCGAGAACAGGGTTTAAACCTAGAAGCTGTAATTATAAGAATCCAGTATTAACTTATCAGTGATGCTTAGGCACTCTTTGGGCTCAGAGCTTATATTTATTTGCTGTATTCTAATTTGTGTGCATTTCTGATTTTGTAATTTTTTTCAAGGCAGAGAATACAGAGTGGGTGTTATCAGAGCCAGAGCCAGTTTCTCTGCAGCAGAAAACTTCAGAAAATAGTCCAGAGTGCTATGAAGGTATGACTGATTTTTTGTTAACAATAAGCTGCATTTTTCTGGCAATCTCTTTTTGTTTAGGCTCTTTTTACCCCACTTCAGTAGTTATGTAGTCTAACCATGCTAATAACACAAGAATTTTGGAGAGGAAAGACTTTTTAGAAGGGTTATGCTGAAATGTGTGGGACTGCATGTTCTTTAATAATATTTGATAGAAATCCTAATTAAAATTTTATTTGAAAGACTTCAGATGAATCTATAGGTGCCTGGTACTCTTTTTAGTAACTGGCAAAGCTGTGATAGAAACAACACATTACGCTATATGTATCAAGCAGTACCCTGAGTACAGTGAGTTGTGTTTTGGTTTTTAAGTATTCTGAAGAACCTTCTGATATTCTTACTCTTGTTATTCACTATGTTTCAGGACCAGACCATGGACCAAGTGTTGATTGCCTCAGTACATCACCAAAAGCTGCATTAGGTAAGGAGTGTAAGCAGAAGAAGATAGCAGCCAGTATAGTGTACTTAAATACTCATTTCTATAGAGATTGCGTGACTGGAAAGAGATGTGGAATTCTTACTTTAATACCAGCGTGCATGAGTTAGTTGAAACATCTGAATTTGTATTACAACTTCTTCTGTTAAACAGTGTACTCCTTCTAAGTAAGCAATTTTAGTCAGTGTTGTTCTGGTTTTATTTATGCTGTCTTAGCCAACCTGATGTATTTAAATGCTACAGGTATCATACCTAATAAAGGTGACCATTAATGTTTCACACCTCCTATTAGGCTGTGTTAAGTTCTGTGTTTAAAGCACACAGGTAGAATAGAGCATTGTGCTGTGACTAATGGCCTGTTATTTATGTTAAGCAAACACATCTTGTACTAATAGGTCAGTCTTTCTATCTAGATACAGTTTTTGCTCCCTTTTCAGAAAACCGAACATAAAATTTTAGACTGGAAAAATCTTGTATTTGTAACACAGTATCTGCAATGTCCAGAGTCTTAATTGACTTATTAACTCAATTAACACTGAAGGGTCTATCATGCTATAAGTAAGTAAAAAAAAAAGTTGAGGAAAATGTAATAGAACGAAATACATCAGTGACTTACGATTTTTAAGATCATCCTGCCGGAGCAGGTTTCTGAGAATAATGAGTATTGATTCTCAGCAGCACAGGGGTAACAAAGAAGTGGTGGCTGGTACTAGCTCAGTGCTTTCAGGAAGGTATGGTCTTCATTGCTGTTTCTGTGTTTGCTTGGTAGGGTTTGGAGTTTTTTCCGAGAGCTGGAGACTAGGAAAAATAGTTGACTGCGTATCCTTCCTGGTTTTCTTATTTGTATCTTTAACACGTGTTCTTATAAAACAAGTGATGTTCTTATTTGTTCTGGATGTTGCAAGCTCTATCTTACGTGAAGAATTTCTGTTCTCTGTATGCCTGTTTCCAACTGAATTTCAGCTCAAACCAGTTTTTCTATATGTACGAGTATTCAATAGGAGTCGTTGATTGAAATTTTTTGATTGTGGGAGATCTACCCTGGCTCAGCATAGCTATCAAAAAGGCACAATACAGTGCCTTACAGAATGTGGTGAGTCCTGTTAGGGTCTCATTAACAGCATGGAGATTAGGAGTTATGTCAGTCTTCATGCAGAGCAGAGTGCAGGTTTGGTTTTTTTTCCATGTTTCAAGATTTAATACAAAGCATTAAGGCTGGAACTTTCAAGCTTTATACATAAAGTTTACCTCCCAATACTGAGACAATTGAACTATTCAATCTAGTGAGTATGTTGTCACTTCTGATAATGTTTGCGATTTTGTTTATGATGATACAAGTATATTTCATCTGTACCATTGGTGGTTTTAAACATAGCTAATGCTTGTCTATCCAGGAAACAGTTTATCCTGGAAATGGTACGGGATCAGGTGGACCTTGGGTCTGATTCAGAATAGCAAGGCCCACATGCTTGTTCTGTTTAATAGCAGGTATCTACAACTGAAAACTGAGTTATAATTTTATTACTATGATGTATTTGCAAGAGATATCATATCCTCAGTCAGAGGCAGTTCCCCACACTTTTCTGGAGGTATTCACAGCTCTGTTGCCTGTAACTCAGTTTAGTATCTCAGTCTCTTAGTGTAGAAACTGTAACTTCAAGGCATTAAAAGAAATTCCAAATACTATTTGGAGTCTGATATTGTGGAAATTATCTTCTGCAGTTCTGGAATTAATTATATGTCAAGTAATGTACATTTAATCCTTGCAGAGAACGCCACCTTCATAAAAAAGAAGCCAAATCAAGCTAAGAAGGGGGTAAGTGTATGTAAATAATGCATATTTTTATCTGTATTATAGATTTCTGGAAATATGTGGATCGCAATATGGAAATGTATCATGGAAGTTAGCGTTACATAGTACTTGTATCAGTAAGAATTTATGAAACTAAAATGGAGATCAAAGCTGTTTCTATATCAAAACAGCCAATGGTCTGTTTGAAAATGGATTATTGTTAAAATGAATTTGTCTGACATGTTAGTGTTATTATCTAGTAGGGTGCTTCAGATCTGTAGGTTGTTTTCTGACCTCAGATAAATTCTGTTTACATGTATGTAGCTCGCTGAACTGTGTAGACTTTCACGTGTATATCTGAGTGTTTTCTTTGTGCTGTCTGGACCTGAACAGCAGGTGATATCTTTTAAAAAATGAGTAAAATAAAGATGTCAAAGCATATATTGATGTCAAGGTCAGTATCTCACTTCAGTTCTTTTCACAACCATTGTCCCTGCAACTCCACTGGTGCCCTGTAACCTTTCTTCTCACTTGCTGGTACTGGATTGCAGGGCTGCTTCAGCCTTTCACCTAAGTTAGTTGTCATACAGATGTTTTTGTAGCAAATTCTGAAAACAAGAAGGAGTTCCAGTAGCACTTTTGAGTAGCTAAATATGCACATGTGGCATAATCTGTCAATATAAGGTGAGTCTGAGACATGCAGGTAGGTGTTTCTGGAGCAAGCCTCATGTCATACCACGCAGCACTGTGGTATTTGGTTGTATTTATAGATAACTTGCAGCTGCATTCAGTACAGTTTCAAGATAGTTTACAGACTTGTTTGTGGATTGGGTCTTACCACTTTCTTAGGCATCTGGTCTCTGTAAAGAAGGCACGAGGAGAGTTGAGTAGCTCAGAATGATGGTTCAAGGAACCTGAAAATTGAGTAAGGCAGTTCAAGTTAACTCAAGTTAGCTAGGAAAAGCTAGGTTTTGAATGTGTGGTTCCTGAGGCCCAAGGAAATAGCCCTAATATTAGGCTATTAGGGTGACAGTATCTTACAGGGATTAACTTCTTTCAAGTCTGGGATATTGTATGGCAAATGATTTTGAAGATTTAATGGAGCAGCTTAATTTAGATTGAAACCTATTATTTCTTGCTCCCACTAGAGGGCCCTAATATGCAAGAGGAATTTCTTATTCTAAATGGTTTCTGCATGTATGTACCCTTACAGTAAGAACAACATAACTGGGTTCACAGGTGCATTGCACAGTTTGTGAACTGTAGTGTTAGAGCCTAAAACTGTATGGACGTAGGCCAGAACTTTTACATGAAGACTTTAAAGTGTTAAAAGGTTAAGACAAATGATTTGTGAAAATTAATATTGCTGCAGTGTTGCAGATGAGGAATTAAACACACAGCAGACTGAGGACAGCAGTTTGAGTGCTGTGCCACCATCTGCATCAGCATTGTATCTATTCGTATTTGTAGTATGAAGTGTTTTTAAAATCTTTTGATAGTCAGAATGAAAGAATATGTATAACTATTGAAGTAGTGTGAACTAGAAGTAGAATTATTTTGAAAGAACGAGTGCAATACTGGAACCTCTCAGCTCTTGTGTTTATCTAAAAGAAGTTTCCAATGCTTTGGCACGTGCGAGGGCTAATCATGCATACACCTCTATACAAAACTGGTGTTGCTTGTATTGCTCCCCTGTCATAAATCAGTAACTAGCTGTGTACACGTTTATTGAAAATATGGATAAATTAATACTTAAACTTAAGATAACACACTAGTACTGGCCAGTGAGAACTAATTGAAGAATCTTGGCCACTTCTAAAGGTAAATTGTGAATTACGTGAATGAGCACCAAATGGTTCCATTGCAAAGAGTTTTATTATGTTATTCCTATGCAACAAAATCGTTATTAACCAACTAAAGTTGTGCTATATATTATAACACTTATTTGAATATGCCAACCTCTGAACAATTAAAACTACCTGTGGTGCCTGACTGCAGAGCTAACAAAATTTGTAGGAGTTAATAGAAGAAACAGGTGGAGGGTCAAAACTGTTTTCTCTGCTCCAAATTTTCATTGCTGTTTGTGTGTGCTCCTGAACAGAGTATGGTGTTTGCTGTAGCTTTCAAAGTTAACTGTGAAGTCAGTTGAAGTGTTTGTCTCGGTTATAATGTTGGGGCTTTTATTTTTTGTTTTTTTAATAAATCAAGCTCGGTGCCAAAAAAGGTGGTTTGGGGGCACAAAAAGTGAGCAGCCAAAGCTTTAATGAGGTTGAAAAACAAGCACAAGCTGTAGATAAAATGAAGGAACAAGAGGATCTTCATAGCAGTAAGAAAACTGAGAAGGAAGAGCCACTGTAAGTATGAATTATATATACAACAGTAAAACAGTAAAACATGAAGCTTAATTTCCTGTTAATAAAGTAATTGTGAACATTTTAAATACTACCAGAGACTAACTAATGCAAATAAAACTTCAGTTCTTGCTTTAAAAGAAAACCCAGATGTGGGTGAGGTGAGCCAAACAGTAATTCCCCCATTGCCCTTTTTATTTTTCTATTAAGTATGTTTCTGCAGTTGATGACTTTCTGTGGAAATAGCCCAATTATATCTTTAAAAATAACCTTAGTGTTCTTCTTTTTTAACACAGAAAATAAGATGTTCTGCTGCTACATATGAATAAAATGTGAAATAAATCTAAAATATGTTAAATTTAAGTATTACTACAGAAGACTCTTGCCTCTTGAACTGTCTTCACTCCGTGCTAGTTACCTAGTTTATTTTGTTTTGGTGTAGTGAATGAATACTATTTAAAAGTCTTTCTAAGAGCATAGGGAACACACAAGTATTTAGTTTTATTTGTGCTTATTGGGTAAGAGTTTCTATGCTGAAGGCAGGGGGTAGTTTAAGTATGTCTAGAATTACCTGCTTAGGTTTTAGCTCTTTTATACTGGAACTGCCTTCATTTTCACCAAAAGCCTTTGAATATTTTTGTCTGAGACCTCGAATCTGTCAGTCCATCTTAATTCATAAACACTCAGCCCTTAAGCTCAGCGGGTGCTGCTCCTGGTTCTTTCCACTATGTTTCTCTGCTACATGTTTTTGGATTTTAACGCTTCGTTAGTTGTCATCAGAGTTAGACTATTCAAGAGTTGGTTAGTGTACACTTCTACTGTTGTAAAGCTTAACATCCTCCGAAGTGCTAAGATGCATAATTTTTATAATCTATTGAGAAAGTTTCTGAATTATTACATAATTACTGGATCACTTGGAGCTCATGGTACCAAGCTCTTTGGTCTGTAATCTCCTCTCTAACCCTTTTGCTCACTTTTATGTAGCCTCTGCAGAAATGGATGATCTGGGTGCATCGGGAAAAATGAATAATCCCCTTACGGTTATTATTTTTGAAATATTTTTACCACAAAGTCATGCTTCTCAGTGATTGCCAAAAACTACCAGTAGAGTGACTTGGAGGAACAGACTATTAAATAACATGAAAAATTAGTGTTCATTATTCTTTATTATTATTCTTCAATGACACTATCTTTAATGATGCAATTCAGTTTGGAAGAATGTCCCAAGCAGTGATTCAATTTTTGTGTCAGAGTGTGTAAATCTATACAGAGCCAACACAACCTTGAGTATACGTTTGCTGCAACCTTGCTGCAGTGGCCAGAACCCTCTAAAAATATCTGCAAACATTAGGGGTGCACCTACATGTTAGTTGATGGATCCGATCCCAGTAGAGGCAAGGTAACTGTATTTCCCTTGAGATTAACTGTGGATTTTTAACTGTAGATGGCAGTACGTACCAAAATTAAAGAACGGCAAATACTTTTAAAATTGCATTTGCTTCTAACTAATTTGTCTAGCGGTTTTATTTTAAAAGCTTTGAGTAACAAGCTTTAGTAAATTAATTCAGGGTGTACGTGGCAGGAATGGAAGCGATGCTTTTGTAGTCTAGTGCTTAGAAGGAGAAAGAGTCCTGAGACTTAAAACGTGATTTTGTAATTGGTACATAGTTTCTTTAGTTTCTGCTGTGCACTGACAAGACGATAGATAACTGGAGTTTCTTTAAAAAAATTGATCAGTATCCCTATTTGTTTTAATCAACAGCAAATAAGTTTTTTGATGTTCATAAAACAGATTTCATAAAGTGGGCTGCTAATCTTTCTACTTACAGTGCTGGGTAGATTTTATCAGTAGCAGTTTCAGGTTGTATTTTAGAGAATTTTTTCAATTTTCTGTGTAACGCTTGGTCCTAGCCTGTAAGAATTTATTTTTTTTTAAACATCCATGAACGTATTCTGTGCTTTGAAGGTATATTTTTCTGATTTTATCGGTTTCAAAAGTCATTCCACAGATGCATGCTGGTGTGTATCTGACTTCTGTTGTTATAAGCATCTGAACGTAAGATGTAGTCATGTTTGTAGTTCTGGCTCCAAGTCCTCCAAAAGCCCCAATCAAAGGATCCCTAATCATCACAAGGTTGAGATGGCTTTCCTGCTTTTTGAAATGCCTCATCAGTGGAGGAGTGATGTTCTGTTCCTTGTAGCAGGCTGGTACCTGTGTCCCTTGTCTGTGAAGGAAGAAGCCCAGATGTTGTGCCCTTTTCCTTCCAACAGGCTCAGCCAGACAGCTCCTGCCTCGCAGGAGATGCACTAGCCAGCAGGGTATGAACTTTGGTAGGGGCATCTTGTGCTCTTGGTTAAAGTTAAGTCAGTATGCCTGGGACCAGAAGAAATCAAGCCGGGAAAAGTCTGTTTCAGTAATCAAATAATTAGGAGACACACTGGAAGAAAATACCTTTTCTTAGATACTTCCTTTCTATTGCGACAGGATGTCTCCCAGCAGCATCCTAAATCTCATTTACTTTTCTTCTGATAGTGTTCATTTATACTTTGCCAGTCACAATTTTGAATTAAAATATTTGTGTTGCTCATTAAAATTACTATTTGTATCCCTTTTAACCTAACAAATTAAATTTAAGCAGTGTTTCTACAATTCTGTAATCAAGATTAAAAACCTCTCTGCTACACTGGTGTTACTGGAAAATGATGAAGATTGTTTTGAGGTGTAAGAAGGTTTGTGGCACCTCAGGAAGACAGCTTACTGTATCTGAACCGTGAGGATGTTTCAGATGACAAAATGTGTTGCCAGCTGCGCAGAAAATGAGAAGTTTTGGATGCTTCAAGGTTTCTATAATACAGAATATATTCCATTTTAGGAGTACAAAGACTCTCTCCTCCCCTCTTCTGAGACACCTTTTTGGGCACAGGGAAGCGTGGCATCAATAAAGAAGCGTGGTCTCCCTCTAGCAGTTGTCTCCAGTGCATGTATAGCAAGTATTAAAACCACTGGGAGTGTGGAGGGAGGGAGCTGTAGCAGGGCCAAGCTGCGCATTAGGGGAAAACAGTACTAATATTATGTCATCGATGCCACAGTACTGTAGTATGTCTGAGTTTGATAATTTTGACAGTTATTTGGTATCACATAGAGTAAGGACTGTGGAAAAAAGACTTTTTCAGGTTGACCTGATGGTGATGCAAAACTGTCCTGAACTTTAGCCAGTAGCATGTTTCACATTCGTTTTGAGAACAACTACCTGCTCGTACACAGACTAGGATACCATTTACAGAGTCTTCTCTTGTGGCTTTCTCTCCTGCTTATAGTTGGAATTTAATGCAATTAATAGTATTTTCAGTAACCACAGAACATACAAAATACAATGCTACAATATATATTGTTAATTTTCTCCCAATATTGTTGGGTTGGGCATTCAGTGCAGCATTGTACAGCTGTGTGTTAACTGTATGTTTTGTTCTAGCGTGTCATCTTTACGGTTGGCCTACAGAGATCTTGATATTAAAGCAAAAGAAGAAAAGTTAAATCTATCTGGTAGAAAGAAAAATGAACTGGAGAGACTTGGCATGGGGTTTCGCAGCAACAGAAGGTATGTGAAGTTCTGTGAACTGTGTTTAAAATACTTTGTGGCTTTATGCAGTTGCTCACTTAGGAAATGAAAAAATATACTAAAGTGTGTTATGGAAACTTAAACAATATCATCAAACAGTCTAGTATCCGTTAGGGGGAAGGGACAGGATTGCTTCTAATAGATATAATTTCTAACCTGCCAGACAGGTGTTAACCTAAAATGTAGGGTGTCTGTAGGGTGTTTGCCTCCATTAGCTGACTGTGAGGAAGGTAGCCAGGATGTTTTCAGTGAACAGTACCAGCCTAAGTATAGCCTGTCTTTTACAAGCCAAAACTCTGAAAAAGCCACATAGCTGTGTTTTCCAGCTGTTGGAATGGTTTTAATTTCTCTTTTCTTCTTAAATGTTTGTATAGCTTGGGCTTTATCAGCAAGCTTCAGAAACTAGATTTGGGCTTTAGTTCCTTTATTTTTTTTTCAGGGTGTGAGATTTGTCATCTGTTTACGTGCTTATTTTCTTCCTGTCCCCAGTGGCATTTCTCACTCGGTCACCTCAGATATGCAGACAATAGAGCAAGAAACACCTGCAATTGCAAAGCCGAAGAAAAAGTACATAGATGATGTAGATGACTCACATTTCTCTTCTAGTTCAAGGTAATGTATAAACTTTTTATTTTGAGTGAGGGTAGAAGTACATGCAAGTTATGTATTCAGATATGCACAATATATTTGGAACTTCAGAACAGAAGACAATTGGACATGTCTACACACTGAGCGTATTTTCAGGGGACATCTGAATCAGAAAAGTTGTGAAAGAGTTGACCTTACCTCAATGACAGATGTATTTATGAAGAAGAGGAATTACTTTTTATGAGGAGAAGGTAGTCTGAATTATGTGTTCATAAGTTTTGCCTTGTTCAGGGTCTAGTCTGTGCTGTCACAGGCAGTTGCCATATAAGCTTTTATTTGCTGTGTGCTGAATCTAGTGAATTTTTTTGCCAGAATGATGCGTGTTCGTTTTTTTTTTTATTTTTTTTTTTTTTCTCCCTTGTGGTACTGTCCAACTTTCAGTTTAACGAGTATTGAAGTCTGATGCTGGATATGCTAGAGTTGCATCAGTCTTTCAACTGGACGCATGCCAAATGCAAAATCTTAAATCTTTTTGAGGTAGTGTGTGTTGGATATTTTGTGTCGATGTCTGCAGTCTTATTTGTCAGACTTTTACGTCTGTGAACGTAAAAGGTAAGCAAATAAAAAAACCTGACAAATTTTTTATCAGAGCATGAGTGCAATGCAAGTTATAAAATACTGCTGTTGGGAGGGAGAAGAAAAAGAATTAGTCCTACAGGCACTAATTGCAATGAACCAGCTGTTTCTGGACGGATAGATAGAAACAGGTGTTGCTTTTATAAACTGCCTTTATGGGATTGGTGCCACAGAAATATGAAAAATTGTACCTAATTACTTGTACACAGGCTAGTAAAAATACAAAGGCTTTTGTGTCATTACTTTGTAGTGTGATCACTAGTGGCAGAAATGCAAATATGGTACCAAGTGAACTGGCAGCAGTCTTGTAAAATAAAACGTATCATTTCGGTGCTTCTCTGTTTGTTCCTTGAAATGAACTGTTGCTGCTCTCAAATTATTCATAAGCCTACTAGCAGGCAAAGGATGAATTATGGAAGAGGCTTTTAAATGTGTCTTGGTTCAATAATTAGAAGATAAATTGTAACCTAACTATTCCTGGCTCTTGTTCTTCTAGTTATGGCAGTAATAGAATCCAGTTGGAGTCGGTATATAGATTCGTTCTCTTAAAAGAATGTATAAAGTCAGATTGTTGGACCTGGTAAGATTTGTAACATGGTTATTATCCTTTGTTCCAAGGTGGGACTTTGAAATAGAGGTAAAGTAATTTTAATATCATCTTAGTATATGCCCAAAAGCAAAATAATCATGCTGGATATCAGAGTGCTGATAGGTATCTGTAAATTAAGTGAGCTGAATGTCTCAATGTTTAGATATATAATTGAAGCCTCTCAAAATCCTTGGACTTCAATTTTTTTTTTTTTTGCTACAGTGAATGAAATCTTTATCAACATAACAGTGTAAAATTTTATTTTCTATTAAATGCCGTTTTTCTTTCTCCCTCTGCCCCTCCCAAATACTGGAGAAGTATTTTGCAGAGTTACCAAAATCTGAAAGGGAAGGGTGGAGAAAATCAGCTCTTGCAGCCCCTGCGCTGTCCCATGGTTTTGATGGCGATTGTGAGGTTGGATAGCTTCATATATATACACACACACACCCCCCTTGTTTGTTATTACACATCCATATGGAACTTTTAAAGATTGCTATGGCTTCTTCATTAGGTAGGCAGGAATAAGAGCATTGCTATGTACTAGCTTCCTTGGAGGTTGTATACTGTGCTTCTACACTCTGCTGCCATAGGAACATATGACAGAGAAACTGAGAAGACAGGCCAAAAGAAAATGACCCTGGTTGTGGGAAAGCATGTAGTGCCTTGCCGTATTTTTAAGCTGATGTAGGGGAGAGAAAGGCAGCTGAATGAAGAAATTTGGAATACCAACTACTTTCTGGTGGTGTACCACTCTTGACTGGGAGTTTCTGCTTTGCTTTATTTTGTTATTTATGGAGTACCTCTCGTATGAGGACAGGCTGAGGAAGTTGGGGCTGTTCATCCTGGAGAAGAGAAGGCTCCGGGGTGAACTTACAGCAGCCTTCCAGTACCTGAAGGGGCCTACAGGAAGGATGGAGAGGGACTTTTCACAAGGGTGTGTAGTGACAGGACAAAGGGGAACGGCTCTAAACTGAAAGAAGGCAGATTTAGATTAGATATTAGGAAGAAATTCTTCCCCATGAAGGTGGTGAAACACTGGAGCAGGTTGCCCAGAGAAGCTGTGGATGCCCCCTCCCTGGCAGTGCTCAAGGCCAGGCTGGATGGAGCTCTGAGCAACCTGGTCTGGTGGAAGATGTCCCTGCTTATGGCAGGGGGGTTGGAACCAGATGATCTTTAAGGTCCCTTCCAACCCTTACTGTTCTATGATTCTATGATTTTACACGTGATACTGCACTGAAAACAACCTAAGCTCACGGGAACAGTGGAAGATTAAATTGGTATAGTGATGTGCCCCAAAACGGAGATTCTGGCATTCCTTTCTTTTCAAGTTTCATCTATGACTCTTATTTTGGATTTTCCACCTGTATCCAAAAGGTGGAGGGGGTAAAAATCCTCATTTAGCAGGAAAAAATACCTTCCGAAATCTATTTGGTCTGGCACCCGCTCTGTGGGTTGATACTGTGAAGATGAAGATTGCATTGAAGTGAGTCTCCTTTGCCCAGAGCGCTAAACGCCTTTCCCTTTGCCTGTCAGGAGAGAAGGGGAGAGACTTTTTGTAGAAGATGATTCCAGATCTGTCCCTGCTATTTCTCATGTGCAGAGGTGGGAGAGTTTGCTGCTGAAGCCATCGCATTTCTCATAAACTGCAGAAACAATGTCCTGACTATTCAGAACACAAACATGGAGAATGTTTTTCTTAAAAGGTGCTTTTCACAAAATACGGATGTGGACTTCAATAGCCTGTGTTTGTTCTATTGAATGGTTCTATTCTGCTAGCCTCTTGTTGTTTTGATCATCTTACTCCCTATCCTGGTTGTATCCAAACTTTCTAAGGAAGTTTATTTAACCACAAAGGGAAATTCTTAATCTTTGACAGTTTAATAGTCAGTTTTCAAGTATTTTCCATAGGAGTGGAATACATAGATACATAGATACGTGTAGATAATCAAAGGGGAAGAGGTCAAACTAAAGTACCACTGGAACTGACAAACATGCTTTTTTTTTTTTTTTTCCTTTTCTTTCTGGTTTCTGTTTTCCGTGCAGTTTTGAAACGCAAGAGAAGATTGTCTTATTAAACTAAGACTCGCTTTTAAGAAATATGTCATGTGGCATTGTTTTAATAAAACATGTTACAAAGGTCAGAGGTGTTTAATACTAACATTTGTATTAAAAATATATATGCAGAACCAGAGACAAGGGCTGTCCTTACTGTACTATGTTTGTTGATACCTCGGAAAATGGGAGCAGATTCTCTGCTTGCATGGCTTCTAGATTGATTCGTATGGAATGATGAGATTAGCCATTGTCATCCCCTTGGTTAGAAAACTTTGCCCCATGTGAAACCACAGCACAACTGGATGCCATGGGTTAGGTGCTCTTGGATCTCTGGAGCGTTCAAAGTGCCTTGAAAGTTGTGGTGGCTTTTTTCATAGCTGGTTTCTTAGTAAAGAGTGTCAAGAGCACCGAGCCGTTATGAGCAGCCTACCTTACCTTGTAGGATCATGGTGATGCCTTGCTCACAGGGTCCATTCTGAAATTTTCTTAGCTCCTGAAGCTCTTAAACCAGCCAAGTATCTTGACAGTGTTCTTCCCGGTGCTTTGTCTGACGCTAAAGAAGAAATAATACTTTGAGGTAATGAGAATTTTGCTCTGCTGTTTTTGATGGGACCACATCTTTCAGGCAGTCCACAAGACCATATCCAGCCTAAAGAAAGGCCAGACTTTTCATTTGGTTAAATACGTGTGTGAAAAAAACAAATTTCCGTTGGATTCAACTGCACCAAGCTTCTAACCAATATTATGAAATCCAGATTATTCACTGACAACTGCCATTGGGCTGAAAACTCGTGTGCTAGTGAACACTTATTAAGGCAATATTTATTTAACAATATATTGTTCCTACTTTTTCAGTGCTTTTTTTTTTTCTTCTTCTTTTGTTTTAGGTACTATGATTCTTCAGATGTGAGGAGCAGTACTTTCTCTAAATGGGATGACAATACAGATTCTCTTTGGAAGAAAGAAAGTAACAGTAGAGATGCTGATGTAATGTTAACTTCCAAAAGTACGGGATTTTCAGACAGGTATACGAAGAAAACTGAACTGATTTTTGTGCAGCAAGCCCAAGCTTGTTAATATGATTTGAGTCCTGGTCATAGTAGTGGGATTTTTTTTCAATCTAGAGGGAAAATTCGGCCATAACTTTTATCAGCAGTCAAGGGACTTCCTGGCTGAATTTCTTTTGTAAGCTGGATTTCCTGTTTAGTTATTTACATTTTAAGCACTGTTTTGCTCAGTGCTTTACAGTATGTGTACTGGAGGTCATTTCTAAAATGTTTCAGCAAAAAAAGTAGACAAAAGATGTGGAGAGAAACTCAAATATTTGCATTGAAAGCATACTTGCTTTACTTGTTTTGTTTATTGTCTAATGAACCAAGCAGAGCCCAATTAGCAAATGAATGAAACTGCAGGGTACTCAGCTTTCAGGATGAAGGTATTAAAGGTACTTGCAAACAACATTTGTTGTGATGATAAAAAATGAATATATTTCTTCTCTGACAACTGTGGTTTTACCTTTGTAATCAAGTGGAAAATATAAGACTGTGAGGTTTTGTGTGCTTGGTTGGTGTTTTCTGCTTCTCTTCTTCTTGCCTGTATTTTCATTTACCTGTACAATGCAGTTTGTGCACTTAAGCACAACTTTTTCTTTTTTTAAACACGCGCACGTTCTGTTGTTTACCTAAAGACTGGACCGGTGATGCATATTATACATTATAGGGGTTCATGTCCATAACTCTATTACTTATTTGAGTACATTTATTTAGGAATAAAAAAAAAGGCAAGTGTTGAATATGTATGTTTGAGGCGAAAGGCAGTGACAGTTCAAAGGATGCTGAACCTTTTTGTGCTGTTATGTTTAAATCTGAATTTCACTGAAATTGTGTTTTGGTTTTTTTGAGGTTTTGTAGAAATATTCTATCTTTGTTGACATAATTTTAGCTTGCTTTTTAAATGAACTCTGAAAATTAAGATAGAGGATTAATGAATTTGAAATAGTGTATATTCACGATTTTGTAAAACTATCACTGGAATTTTGTTTGCTGCTGTATCAACTTGGTTATCTGGATTTATTTATCCTGGGTTCATACTTATTTAATTTTTATTAAAAATAAAAACCATAATTATACTTTTAGACTTCACAAAACAAAGATGATAGTGCTTCTTGTGTGATTTATTGCATTCTGTCATGATATAAATAAAAGTTACGCTCACTAATGCAGTTTATTTTTCTTTTAGGCCTGCATCTCGTCGTAAGCCTGAATATGAACCATCTTTAAACACAGATGAGGCACAAAAAAAATTTGGCAATGCAAAAGCAATTTCATCAGACATGTATTTTGGAAGGCAGGATCATGCTGATGTAAGTAGAAAGCAGTGATAAATATTTTTGAATGTTAAAATATTCTTTGACTATAAACATGGTGCTCTTGAGTAAAGAGAAGGCAATAAATAGTTAAAACTGGTAGAATTAGTAAGCTTATAGGATTGTGTCTGCTTGAATATTTGTTTGATAGAAATATGTGTAAGTCTCTGATAGTTTAGTATTTCCTAAGGAGTTGCAGTTGCAAGTAGGACCTTACCTCCAACATCATTCCTCTCTGGCAGAAGTGGTAGACTGATTCAGCAGTCTTTATTTTTAAAAGAGTCAGCCTGATGCTGGGTGAAGACTTCTTTTATTCTAAGTACCCAAACTGATGATAACAAACCATTGTTAAAAGAGCTGTCCCCCCATGTATTTGTTACATGGAAACATTATTATTATTGTGAGGCTAGGCAAGCAGATAAATGGTTCAACAAATGACATGTAATTGAATCAGCCTATGAATAAAAAATAGATTAATATTATGTTGCATTTTTGAGGTGAGGGATCATTTTAAAAGAATCTATTTTTAATGAACAACTAATAATGTAAACAGTAATATAAAAAACTGTCATCAATGTATTATCATTCCCAAGGAACTCAGAGAAATTTGAATTAAAAGCCTCATGTGATTAAAAGAGTTAACACGATGCTAACTGCAGTGCTTTTTCCTTATCCTCCCAAACCACTGCAGTTCAGATTTTTTAGTTGTTTTTAATGGTTGTGTTGTTCGTTCTCCTCTGCCTTTTCAGCAGTCCCCTTTTTTAGGGTAGCTAACAGTGAATAGGCCTCTTGGTGTTGCAATGGTAAATATCACTCTTCGATCAGCTCTGAAATGAGTTGAGGTGGTGACAAACTCACACTGTGGAAGTCGTGTGAAAACTACAAAATGGGAACAGCTTTCAGAATGGTCAACTTCAGATGGATTTGTATGCTCTCAAACTATATCTATAATCTCGTGAATTATCTGACATGACCTTGAAAGATGACAGCATACTGTTACAGTACTTCTCAAATCTTTCCTAGTACGAAGCAAGGGCTCGACTAGAAAGACTCTCTGGAAGCTCCTCTATAAGTTCAGCTGACTTGTTTGAAGATCAGAAAAAACAACCAACAGGTACATATTCAACAGACTGAGAAACTGTATCGTGTGCCAAATACGCTCCCACGCTCTGCTTTTAGATATTCTGCAAAGTGCGGTATACTCTAGTATTGCTAATAGGTCAAACAAACGTAACAGGAGTAGTCAATTTTTGTTTTTTTAATTATTTCTTGAATTTCAAGTTCCGTATTTTCGGTTCAGTAAGTTCAAAATTTTATACAGCTTTTTATGACTTGTTGCAAATAATAGACTAACTATATTGTAAATAATTTTATCAAAGGAAAACTGTAATATTTTGTTACAAAAACAAATGAGGTAACACCTAAATTGACTATCAGGTAGGTTTGTTATGGTACCATAAGTAACATATATTTATATATGTGAAGATAGCTGTCATAATAGTATTGAATTTAAGGAGAATCTTTAATAAAGTGTTAGTGGCCTTGATGTTCCCCTGTAATCGGTTGCATGGCATGTCCATTCGTCAAGATATCTGCTTCTAACAATGGTCTTACCAAATCATTAAGGAAATTTTGCAGTTGGTTTGTGTGTTTAAAAGATTTGTTGGAACACCTTACACTGGAGAGTACAGTTCATGGAATTAGAAAGGAAGAAGTACTAGATTAGATTGACTCAAAAGTAGTCCCTTAGGCTACTGAAAATCATCTTTTATTTCCGACACCCTTTGTGGGTGTTGCAAGAATGTGAAATAGAAAAGACAAGAAATACTGGAGAAATATTTATTGACCTGAGCAGTTGGGTTTCATTCCGTAACTTCTGAAGAAATGAAAAAAAAAAAAAAAAGAATTACTGAAGAACATGAAATCTGTGAGTAATTCTATAAACAGGCTGGAAAAGCAAACAGAATGCACCATCTGATTTTACTTTGGAAAAGGTGGAAGAAGAAAGCCATGTGTGACTATTCAGTTTTCATGCCCTGAAAGCAAGTTTTGAATACACTGGCTAGTAGAGAATAACTGCTATTACTAGTTACTTAAGCTGGATTTTAGTCAATTGAAATGTAAAAACAACCAAAACCCAAAAACATTTGAGGAGAGAAGGAGACATAAAGCAGAAATTGCACTAAATTACTTGGAAGAATATTTGCAACATGGTGTCATACTTGTGATTAAAAAAGATGATGGGAACGTAAGCAAAGAAATTGTGTTTCCTTCTGAATTTGTAAGTGATAATGTTTTCAATAATATGTGGAATTGTGATAACAAATATTTTGTTATCTATCTAAAGTTGAATGGTACTTTCTTCATCATTTTTCTTTTAATTTTCTTGCATATAAATTATTTTATGTGGAATTATTTTTTTTCTTTAAATTGTGTAATATGTGTGGGGTTTTTACACAGTAATGAATAAGAGAATGAACTAGGAAAAGGTAAATAGAAGTTGAAGATGGAGCTAATTGTGTGATGTGATACATGTATCAGTGTGTGTATATATATGAATGTGCCTTTCTATGTACACATACATGCAAATGTGATAAAATTCTCATAGTATTCTGAATAAGAATACTTACAGGCAATTTTGTGTAATGTTTACTATGTGTATGTGAGTTTTGCACATGTGATTATTCGTCGCTGACCATTTGGAAAGGTTCTTGGGGATTGTGGGGGAATGCAGAGATGCTTAACAATGGGATGAAAAATACCTGCCTGTGACTCAAGGTTAGTTACTCTCTGTGACTGACATGTAACCCGTCAGTAATTTTGAAGTTATATTACAAAGACTAAACTTCTGCTAAATTTTGTGGGTTGTTAGCTGCTCTAAAATAATAGAGAGGAAAAAATACGCCAAGATCTATTAGTTTGCCTGTTACAAATTCACAGTATATTCAGCCTACAGACAAGCCTTTCCTGCATGTCTTTCTGCTACACTCCCCACCCTAACGACTGTCTTTTGACAGTGGCCCTGCTTGGAGAAATTTTACTGCACTGATAGCTTGGCTGGTGTTGAATTAATGCCAAGGCCATCATTAGTTCCATAAAATAAAGGTAATCAGGAGACCGGGGCTGGCAACAAAAACGCTTCTGTAATTCTGGGGTCCTTGCCAGAATACAATGTCCTTTGAATCTGAAGTTGTTTTTATGAGCACTGCTGCGATTTTAGAGTAGAACAGTTTTTGGGATGCTTGCTTTTGTACAGAATGCTGTAGGAGCTGTTTACCGAAAAGAGGGGGCTGCAAGAAAGCGCTTTTACTTTGCGTTATTTCAGACTTGTTGCTTATGAAAGATGGCATGACAGAGAGTGGACTTGTAGATGCTGATTGTGAAAGAAATCACAAGAAAAGGTGTTGCTTTCCTGTCTCATTTACAAGATTTTTTTCAGACAACCATACGTAACCAGAAAAGCATGAGAAAATTCATATGGCTGAGAAGCAGTTAGAGCTTTTCTCAGGTTATTTATATCTGCAGATTTGATTTCCATGATTCTGACTTCAATAACAAAAATGCTGAAGCATTTGGTAAGTGGAACAGATCGTAAGGAAGTCAAAATTATAGTTCCAAAATAGGGCTGTCTCAGTGACGGTGAATTTTCAAAAATAATCTATAAACAAGTGTGCCCATACACTGCAGAAACAGCTACTAGCTGGCTTTAAAGGACGGAGTGGGGAGCTCTCTGAATATGACTATGCGTCTGCTGCTATGAACCAGCCACTTGGCTTAGGTAAATTATCTGCAGTAATGTCTGTCTTGGCTTGCTAACGAGGCAGGTGCCTTTAATTTCCCATGAAAAGAGGAGCCACAGGTTCTCTCTCTCTCTTCCTCCTCCACCCCTGTTCAAAAGGAAGGAAGAAAAAAGGGAGAAGAAAGGGCTACCAGCACGTAGCTCTGTACAGAGCTGCTGTCGAAAGGAGCTACAGTTGTGTGGGTTGGGCAAGCCTGTCCGAGGTTTGGTAACTGCTCACAAGTTACCGGTTATGTCCTGACTGGTCGTGACCGTCAGTTGGCGATGTGTCTAACGCAAGGCTGCAGATTGCAGTCTCCATTTTGAAAATACGCAGGTTTGGGATGCTTCTTCTCAGGAGCCCCATTTGTTGCCCCCTGAGATCGTAGTTGTGCGATGCTGGTTTACTGCCATTTGTGCCTTTTACAGTATCAGGTGCTGAATATTAAGGCATGCCAGTAATTCTTTTCGCAAATGAGTGGGTGATTGTAATTGTTAACAGGTTAATAGTCGTCATGCAGTTAGTTTTGAAACATCTTTGATTTCTGTTTAGACCTATACTTTTTTTAATAGCAGTAGAGCTAACACTGACCGAACTGTATTGGCTTTAAGGAAGGCTAGATTGCCAGCTTTGTGCTAGAGTTTTAAAACTTACTTACTTACCTTTACTATAATTTCTATACAATTTTCCAAGCCTTAGATGTCGTACTGTGAAATAGGTGTGTATATATGGCATGCAAAGCATACCTGTTCATGCACACAAATAGGGTTCATCACTTCAGCCACCACTGAAGCGCATTCATCTTTAAATTGCAAGGTAAGAACGGCAGTTTAGGATATGAGACAAATGACACTGCAGCAGATTGAAAATGCAGAATAAATCATGTATTACCCAAACATTCGTCACTCAGCTGGGAATACAAAGTGTGGAAGATGACGCTCTGGGTGGAATTAGGAACAACTGAAAAAAAAATAAAAGGAAGATGCACTGAAGAACTTTGAGATCTATGCCTAGTGCTTTTTACAGTGTTGACCAGACATTGGTCATTTGGTGCTTCTAGTAGTATATTGTACTTCAGGGGGAAAAAAAGGCTGTTTTTAATGTAAAATTCTGTTTTCATCTTGTGTGTCTGTGTTCTCCTTCTAGGAAGCTACAATATTACGAATGTCTTGCCTTCAGCTCCTGATATAGCTCAGTTTAAACAAGGAGTGAAATCAGTGGCTGGAAAACTTTCTGTACTTGCTAATGGGGTCATGACATCTATACAAGTTAGTAAAAATATTGCAATGTATTATCCATCAGTTAAAGTGTTTTTGTAGGGATTTAGTATCATGGATCTTGCCGTTGAATCGTCTTTAGGGAGAAAAAAATGAATTTGGTTTTGAGCTTTGTAGACCTCCCATGGTAGACAGTAGATCTTGATCTTTTTTAAAAATGTATCTGTAGCTGATAGCTCACTTTGCTTAGAATATCTTTTTTGTCTGGTCCCGGCTATAGTGTATTTCTTTCCTTACAATTGAAACAAAGATTGCATTATGGAAGTTATTTGCTGTCACTTTATTTTTAAAGTAATCATATTTCATAACTCAGAATATAATAGTTTAGTTGGAAGGGACCATCTAGCCCAAGCGATCATCTACCCAGGTCTCGTATTGGCTGTAATTGACTTGACAGTAGAATCATAGAATCATAGAAAGTTTTGGGTTGGAAGGGACCCCTAGAGGTCATCTAGTCCGACCCCCCTGCAGCGAGCAGGGACACCACTAACTAGATCAGGTTGCTCAGAGCCCTGTCCAACCTGGTCTTGGTCAGTAATACCTTTGATCCATGTTTGTGCACAAAATTAAGACATCCTGGTCTCAGTAGTGTAAAGCATGCTTCATGCTACAGTTAGTTTGCATTTCCTATATTCCCGAGGTCAGTGGGAGCTCTTGGGTGTTTGAAAATCAGGGTAATTATCCTGGAGTTTAACCATAAACTCCAGTTCTTGGAAGCGCTGGTCAATTTTCTTTAAGTCTTTAAGAATTAAACTACTATTTATGTTACAAATGTAAGTAAAGCTTATTTCTTTCAATGGAAAGCATACTCATGTCTGTCTTTTTTTTTACTTTTCTAGGATCGATATGGTTCATAACATCTTTTGTATCGACATAATTAAGTGCACTCTTCAGATATACAAATAATCACACTGCTGATTTGAATGAAGGTTGCCTTACGACTGTTGATGTTTTTACTTGTTCCAGCCTATTTGGTTCCATGTGCAGCTTTTTGGCCCAGCCTCTTCTTATTGCTGTTTCATCTTTACAGAGCAGAAATCTCGTAGCAACTTGTTACATTGCCTATGCTTTGCACCCCCCCACCCTCCCCCTTACAGTCTTGTATTTCTTAGCGACCTTAATGTTAGATGTTGGAAGCTTTATTTTATTACTGGGTTTGGCTGTGAGGTAGAAGAGAGAAGAAAGGCTGAACACGTACCTTGGAAATGAGGTTTCCTAACAGAAACCTCAGTGCAGTTGCATCCTTGCTTGCCAGATAGAACTTGTCTTTCGACTGTCTTATGAACTGTGGAGAAGAAAATGTAAATTAAGCACATGCTGAGGTGGTGTTAGTGGACTGTAACAAAACATAGAATTAAGTTAAACCTGTGCTTATCAGGAGGTAGAAGCTCTTGCAGTCATAAATTGATGTGCATTAAAATGATGGGAAAATAGTGTTTTAAAACAGTATTCCTGCTAGAAAATTGTATGCTTAGATGTGAGGTATGGAGAAGACAAGACGTGGTATATTGAACAGTGGATTTCATCTTGTTGTGGGAACAATCTATTTATTCCTAGTTTTGAAAGTTACAAAAAATTGCAATATAGAGTCCTTAAGTGCTTTTTAAAAATCTGTGATGTGTACAAATTGAAAAAAAAATTAAAATATATAAAGAACCTAATAGAGTAGTTAATTAAATACTTGTTAAAAATATTTGAACCATCTTAGTTTTTTGATAAATTATGAAATATTGAATGAGGAGATAGCGGGGCTGTGTTTTAGACAGTCTAGAAGTTATTGCTGATGAAATCCTGTATAAAAATGATTATGACCTTAAAGAAAAAACCTCACAACCAAGAATGAGCTCAAGCTAATTCTGTTCTGTAATGTTATTTCTTAATTCAAATTTGTAAACTGCTGATATCTAATAAAAACAATTGAGATAAACTCATTTTTTAATTAAATTTCTATGTGCAGACACCAGTCTCCAGCTTTCTAAATACTGCTATCTGTATTCTGTCTATACAATGTTCTGGTAAAATTAGCCTGTAATTTCAGTTAGTGAAACTAGCTTTCTTATTAAATTGCTATAGTGATTTAGAAATCAAAATACTAAGGCTGGGGTAGAAAATAAGCTATGGTATTGGAATCTAAGTAACGGTATAGCTGTATTTGTTTTTTAATTTCTAGTTGCCTCTTATATCTAACTCGGTTCTGGTAACTTTCTCTTGTGGCTGTTGCATTTAGATTTGTTAGTCAAAAAATGATTTTTCTTTTTTAAGAGTAGTACAAGATAAGCATTTGTTCTGCTTAACTGGAGAGCTTTACAATAAAAGATTTGCTTTGCTTTCTCCTTTCCCACCTTATAGAGGTATTCGTGCATATACCACAAGAAAATGTACCTGCCAGGGCTTGCTTTAATTTTCTCTAATTACAGGTAACGATTCTCAGTTTTCAAATTAGTCTTTCAGTTAAGTGTATACACAGTAGTAAATTTCTGACAAGTAATAAATGGTCTGATTTTCAGTATACCCACGGCATCCAGTGACTTGCAGAAGAGCTGCTCCTCCTGTCACTAGGCTGCATATTTAGACATTTGCGTATGGATGCAGTTGCTGAAACTTAAGGCAGTGAAGTATAACAAAATACAGGTCTGTCCCCTCATGCAGTTTCTCATAGGTAACAACATATGTGAGATCACCTACGCTGAGATAGTTGTGTGCATTTTTTTATGCATCGTTGCAATACAGCGAACCACTCGCCAATGGAAAAATACAAAAGATTTATATTTTCAGTACAAAATAAGAAGAATTCTAGGAGGAAACAACTATGGTGTTATCTTAAATGCCATAAACGTGTGCAACTCTAACAGATGTATAAAGTTTTTCCTCTTTGCTGCTAGCTGAAGATTACACCACGGAGTTCTCTTATGAGTAAACTATAATTCAATATTTTCAGGAATATTGTGCAGTTCAGCATAAATTGGACTTGGTGCGGATTCTCTATGGCAACCTGTGTACCACTAATATGTTCTCTTGATGTGATGACTGGATGAGAAGCTCTTGACCCCCAATATCTCTGTCTTTAATAAACCTATGAGGTGTCAGTGCGTTTCATCAGACAGAAGTCGGGAGGGGTTGCCGTGTGCACGGGAAGAGCCGGCTTTAATTCCTCGAGTCTCCTGGGACTGTTGGGTGCAGGATTTGGTTGGACTGGATCAAAGGGAGAAACAGTCAAAACCTAAAATTGAGTTTGCATTCCTTAAAATTGAGTTTGCATTCCTGCGTTCTCATGTGCCCTTTTCCTTCATCTCATCTTCTGCCTTCAAACACGTTTCCCAGCCTCCGGGAAGATGGGCAAATGGCTGATGCTGCTGAAAGCATCACAGGTCTCAGAGCATGTGATAAAACCATATATTGGATCTGATTTTGCAGCAAGTTTTCAAGTGACACTTGGCATTGGTCAGCCGTTGCATTTTGTTGCAGCTCTTCCCTGAATCCTCTCTTGCTGCTGTTACACATCTTGCTTTTTCAAAGCTGGAACTGAGCGATGGCAGCAGCAACTGTGAACCATTCAATCTTCTTCAAGTCCTGTGAGTACACTGCGTGTAGGGGGAGGGGAAAGAGGATTAATTAGTGCTTTATATTTCAGATAGTTTAGTTTTGTAGTTTACATTGACAGAGTTAGAAAAATGTTTAAAGATAGTTGTTAAAACACCAGAACGAGCATTAATTCGATGCAGAGACCTGTAGTTTCCTTCCGTGAGTAAACTGTGAGCAGAGCACATGGAGATGTTCCCATCCCAACAATGCAGCACCCTATTGCATGAGAACAGAGGGTTCTGCGGTCTGAAGTTTGTAAATCAGATTCTTTCTTGGTTCATAAACTAATGAGCCAATCGATACAAACCAGCATTTATAGCTGTATTTATAAATGGATGTGGTTTTCTCTTGGTTTCTGTTACTGTGGTGATTAAAGGGTCAAAATCCTGAGGGAGATGAACATGGTGCAGTTCTTTGTGGATGTGAAGGTCACTAGCAGAACAGCTTGGTTAGAAATGATACATATTCCAGAATGAAATTCCGCCGATGAATGCGCTGCTATTCCATTACTTACCTCCCCCCGGTGCTTCAGAGTGCTGGCACGTGGGGAGGGAAGGTGCTGAGGCAGTAATGCTGCCAAGAGACGCGCCTTTGTCATGGTCTGTGCAGACCAGCTGCGTGACAAAAGGTGTGCTTGTCTCAGGGAAATATCTAGGACCTGTTACTGCAAATGATAAAAGGGGAAGGAAATTGATCTTGGCAGTGTTTCCTCAGAAAGATTTTAATTTGTTATCCAAACATACTCATGCCCGATGTTTTGTGCAGTCTCTGACTGAACAGTGGCTCCGTCGAAAGGCGGCCTGTGAAGCTCCCAGTGCTTGGGCATGAGAAAACACTCCTAACTCTGCGTAGGAATCCCTTTGAAGAGCTGAGGTCGAGCTGAATTTCTGAAGTATAGCAGCCAGCCATTGAAGAGGCACCCGCTTGCTTTCTCAGTTGTCTCACTATATTGATATGGATTTCTGCATTGCTTCCTGGTAATATGCAGTGTGCCCATAATGTCTCCTATTTGTCTGACAGTTGTTTCCTGTCTATATCAGCGTTACTTGACACAGTAATAACTCATGATTAATGCAGTTACAACTGTGAGTAATGCTGGGAGATCCATAAGCATAAGTAGGGTGCTCTGGAGACGCACTTCACAAGAAGCTTGACCAGTAGGAAGCGAATGGGCTGTATTGTATTTGTAACAGGCTGGACTGCACGTATTTTCCAGTCCACGTTTGCAGCTCCTTGTTTTCAGTATCTGAAGGTGACGGTTTTATTTTGTAATACTAAGTACCAGCATTTTCTGTCTCGGATTCAAGAACATTAGAAAATACAGGAAATGCGAAGCTATAGGTGAATTTTCTAGCTAGCGTCTGAATTGCCACCGATCATCCACCAAAGAGGAATGCATTTTTAATACCCGATTGCAGCAGGGAATAACTGGTGTGGAACTTGAGAGGCTTACTAATGGAAGGCAGATGCTGCTGCTTGCGTAATATAATGATGGATTTAAGAGTGTTTTTTATTGCCCCTCTCCTGCTCCTGGGCCACCTTTTGTCACCCTCTTCCCCTGCCCTCCTGTTCAAGGTTTGAACAAGCTGGGTGAGAAGAACCAAACTGAGAGGCAACGCAGCTTTGAGGGTGGGTTTGGTGTGAGTGCTCTGGAGATCATTTGGGTGAGCCGCTTTTTCAGAACTGTGTGGCCACAGCAGAGGGTGGGGAGCTGAGGGGGCAGCTGCTGGGGTGGGGTGTCCCAGCCAGCTAAAATGAAGTCACGGCGATGTTCAGTGAGAGTTTTCCCAAGATTTCGGGAGCTGACCCTTCCCTAAGAGAATGAAGGTGACTGCAGCAACCTGCTTTCAGCCCCAGGGGAATGCTCAGCAAGGCTGGGTTTTTCTTAGGGGAGAAATTGCTTCCTCTCTTCCCCAGTTTGGCTGAATTGAGAAATAAACAATTTCCTTTTTTCTGATTTGGATTAACACAAAATGGTATTAATTTAAAAAATCAGCTGATGTTTGTGTCCATAATTTTTGCTGTCTGAAACCCTTTGCTAAATTCAGTGAGGAGAAAACGAGACCACTGATGCCCGCCCCCCCCAGCTACTTTAGCTTCTTTATAAATTCTGGACAGATTTGCTCTGAGCTGTATTTTAAAGGTGCTCCACAGACCTACCTGGCACCACGTTACAGACGTGGAGACAAAATGCTGCCATCATGTCTGAGGGTCTGCATGCACACACCTGTACGCCCCGGCACATTAAAGCCGGCCTTGGTTTGCTCCAGCCGAC